GGAAAAGAAGTTTAACAAATCTATTAGCCTTTATAACTATTGTAAGAAAAAGTGAAATAATCCCGTAAAGCACTTAGTATAGTGCCTGGCATATACTTAATATTTCAAAAAGCAAGTCACAATTTTTGTAAACCTATAACATTATTTGCCAGAGTGGGAGCAGGGATTCCAGTCTCAGGACTTCCACAGAGAGCTGAGTGTGCTGCGGCCCTTTGCTGTGGGTCCTGCCTCTGAGCCTCTAACTCATGAGGATAATCCTGAGGTGGCTGTGGAGGTCCTGGGTTCTTCGTCACCACAGCTCACCCTCAAAACTTCTGGGGACATAGCCAGGATCCCCCCTTCTGACAGGGAACAAAGGGAAGCTTCGTCTTTCCACCTTGTTTTATTGTGGTCCTGGAAGGTCAGCAAGACTCAGAAAAACATGACATGGGATTGCATTTTGTGTGCTGGGTCTCCAGAGGGCATGTCCAGTTGGCTCAGAGAACTCAGAGACTCTTCACCTAAATCCTCCAAGGGACAGAGATTTGTGTCATCTTGCCCTCCAAGAACTGGTTGATTTCCTCACACACTCTGACAGTTAAGGTTTCTGTTGATCAGGCACATTTGCCACCCCAGGCAGAGGGGATCCAACTGGGAAAAGCAAGGTCACAGTCTCTCCCCAGATTGTGGAGTTACCTGTGACCTTCCAGAGGCCCCTTTCCTTTATCTTTATGGCTCAATAGGGTTGAAGGTGTCACCCTAGACTCTGGCAGAGATTGGGGTGTGTTTGTCACCTTGATTTTCCTTGTAAACTCGTACATGGGCTAAAAGGTGTGCTCACCTGAAATGCACATAGTCACACACACACATGCACACACACACATGCACACACACACGTGCACACACACAGAGTCCTTTAACAGGTGGCTTGGTGGGGAGGAGCTATTGGTGGAGGAAGAAATGACTGATGCAGGCTCCTGTGCATCTGGGCAGGGAGCAGGCTGGTTGTCCTGGGCTGGGAGAAGAGGCCATAGAAAGAAGGAAGATAGTAAGGAAGAAAAGGAAAGACCAAAAGGGGCTCAAACATCAACTGGTTATTTTTTAAACCACTTATCTTAGCTACAGTAAAGTAATACCTGCAGTCCAACTATAAGACTAAAAAGAAAGAAAAAAATTATCGCCCCATGCACAGGGCCCCAGGCTGCATCCAGGAAATAACAGCTGCCTCCCAACAGTGACAAGGTCCGGAGCCTACTGGGGCGAGGAGCAGGTGCAGAACCCACAGCAGGGCTAGAGGGGGAGATGGGGCTGTGACCTCCAGTCATCACGATGACGCTGCCCTCACACTAAAAATGCTTTAGAAGGANAGGCACATTTGCCACCCCAGGCAGAGGGGATCCAACTGGGAAAAGCAAGGTCACAGTCTCTTCTCAGATTGTGGAGTTACCTGTGACCTTCCAGAGGCCCCTTTCCTTTATCTTTATGGCTCGAAAGGGTTGAAGGTGTCACCCTAGACTCTGGCAGAGATTGGGGTGTGTTTGTCACCTTGATTTTCCTTGTAAACTCGTACATGGGCTAAAAGGTGTGCTCACCTGAAATGCACATAGGCACACACACACATGCACACACATGTGCACACACACAGAGTCCTTTAACAGGTGTCTTGGTGGGGAGGAGCTATTGGTGGAGGAAGAAATGACTGATGCAGGCTCCTGTGCATCTGGGCAGGGAGCAGGCTGGTTGTCCTGGGCTGGGAGAAGAGGCCATAGAAAGAAGGGAGATAGTAAGGAAGAAAAGGAAAGACCAAAAGGGGCTCACACATCAACCGGTTATTTTTTAAACCACTTATCTTAGCTACAGTAAAGTAATACCTGCAGTCCAACTATAAGATTAAAAAGAAAGAAAAAAATTATCGCCCCATGCACAGGGCCCCAGGCTGCATCCAGGAAATAACAGCTGCCTCCCAACAGTGACAAGGTCCGGAGCCTACTGGGGCGAGGAACAGGTGCAGAAACCACAGCAGGGCTAGAGGGGGAGATGGGCTGTGACCTCCAGTCATCACGATGACGCTGCCCTCACACTAAAAATGCTTTAGAAGGACCTCCAGAGCCTGGCCTGCTGTCCTGTGCCATCCACTACACACCTCCCAGCAGCTCCCTTTCCTCCCACCACACAGCAGAGATGATGCCTGTGCCCCTCACAGGTGTCTGAGACTCATTGGAATGCCTGTGAACCCTCAAAGTGGCAGATGACACAGTGGAAGACCCCTGAAGGAGGCTGTGGTGGCCTGCAGTCTGCCAATCCCCTCTGGTACTAATTTAGCATAAGATTTGGTAAAGTCATGTCTCAGGTTCTCATCTGGATCATGAGGCTCACAGTAGCTGCCACAGGCTTTGTTCTTGGAGCACCGCCCTCCTCTGGGGAGGGCAGAGGTTCACCACACGGGTGCATGTGACATGTCCTACTCACCCAGCTCAGTCTGGAGTTTCTCTGCAAGAATGAGAACAACATATTGAGGAATTTGGTCTAAAGGAAAAGAAAGAATTTATTTCAAAAAAATAAAAATCAAAGCAAGTTCTACATTTTATTGGAAAGCTCAGTTCATTGAAAAAATATAAAATGCAGAAAAATATTGATTCTTTCCCATGGATCACCTAGTGATACAACTGTTTTTCCTTTTCTCTGCACAAAAAAAAAGTTCTCAGTTTTGTCACCCCATTATTCTGTTTGTTTCTGCTATTTAACATATCAATATTTAACTATCAGTAATAATATATGTTCTTTTTGTAGATGCATGGAAAGTATAAAATTACACAGACATAGACAATTATCACCTGTAATTACAAACTGAGAGATTATACATACATGATAGGAGGATACTTCAAAAAATTCATGGAAAGATTTGTATTATCTTTATTCTATTTTTTCCACAGATTTTTTGAAGTTACCCTTGTATATACAGCTAATTATATATATAATATATGAAATTCTTTTAACATTAAAATATAGCATTTACTTTTAATTTTTATCTATTCATTTCTATAAATGAGAATAGCTATATATTTATATCCAGATATAGAAGGTATTCCTAAAGTCTTAGTGCAATTATGTTATTTAAGGCTAATAATTTTCATATGACTGGAAATGTCTATTTATAGATGGACAGGTGGATGTCATCTCTATCATGAAGTTGTACATAATGAGGATTTTTCCCAACCATTAGCTAGGTGGAGCACCAAGAATTTTTAGGGCAGTGAAACTATTCTGTATGATACTGTAATGGTAAACACATGACATTATGCATTTGACAAAACCCATAGAACTGTACGACACAAAGAGGGAACACTAATATTACACTGAGTTAGCAATAACATCAATATTGGTTCATAATTGTAACAAATGTACCCACTAATGTAAGATGTTCATAATAAGAGAAACTGTGGGGGAGGGGGATATGGGAACTATCTACGCTTTCTGTTCAGCTTCTTTGTAAGTCTAAAACTGCTGTGAAAATAGTCTATTACAAAAAAGGAAGAGGTTATTTTCCATCAATGTTATAATTTACAGTAACACAAGAAACTTAACACTCAATTGTTGTATTGGGTTTTTTTGGTTGTGTTTTTGTTGCTATTTATAAGACTATAATTAAAATTCTATTATGTAAATAGTTGTCTCCATCTCTAATTATCTTCATATGATAGAATCCTAGAAGTAGTAGGCACAGCACAGCATAGGAAAACATTTCAGTTGAAAGAATACAGCTTTCTTTTCTTTACAGTGCCATGAGTAAAAAAAAAAAAACCAGTCAATGCAGAAATAAGAAAGAATTAAAAAATAACTGAAGTACCACTAATAGCTATTCAATCAAGATGTATTGTATATATTTCCAGTCATACACGTTTTATAGCCTTTAATATATATTAAATATTAGATATTTTTCCTGATAAAAAATATGAGGCATCATTGTGCAGTCCCTGGGAACTCTCCTGCTAATATGAGCACAGTGTTCCTAGAGGCAGAGCACTGACCTGGGGGAGTGATGACTGACCCCTTCTCCTCTGCAAGGATGGGGCGGTGGATGAAGCAGGACATGGTCACTACAGAGGTGTCCCTGACTACAAGAGTGGACTCCACGTAGAATCTCGGATGTGATGCTCAGAGACAGTCAGCATCTCCTCTCCCCGGCTGTCTTCCCAGTAAACCTGGGGCTCTGGGAACCAGCCCTGTGCAGTGCACACAAGCTGGACCTCACTTTCCACCGCTCCCTCCATGTGGATGCTAGGGGCAGACCCCACACCTGTGGAGGGGAGCCACAGCCCCGAGGTCTGGAGCCCGTGGAGGAACAAGTCAGAGACTGAGATCCCAGTGACGCTGTTCATGGGGAGAGGGCAGGAGTTCAGCGGTCTGGGAGCAAGTGGTCCAAAGTCTTCTTCCCACTCGGATGGAGTTCAGACACACTTTATTTGTACCCCAGTCTGGATCTTTAAATTTTAGCATCTGAACATTTTTTCTTTCAGATCCAGACAAGGGAGGGAGACATAATGACATTTTCTTTATGTCTCTAGTACCGCAAACAAAGATGTGATGTGATTTATTCACGAACTCCTCCATGCCACGAACCCTGCTTTTTCATCTTGATATTATGTATATCTGGCACTTTGTCTGACATTTTGGATGGTGTCGGAACTCCAATTTAAACAGAATATTTCATACAAAGGCAGAAATTGCCTCTATGGGGCCCATTCTTCCCTTTTTCTGTTGTTGTTGATGGTTGTGATCTTGGGATGCGAGTAGATAAACTGGAGTGAGTGAACGGGAAGCTCCTTGAGGAGTTCTTCGTATCTGAATATTCCATTCAATGGAAAAATGTTTCTAAGAAATCCCAGTTTAGACAATTTATATAATCATGAAATTCTTTCTCTATTCAACACACAACTCCCCAAACCAAACAAGTAGGACTATATTCTCCACATATGGAAATTCTGTCTTTATCACCTGCTGGGAGAAAGAAAACCACCCCCTTTACCTGGAAGCCTTAGAAAATGTTTGGCTTAATTTTAATTGTCCCTGATAGTGAAATGTGTCGGCATGTGCCCTCTCCCAATCCGCTTCCTGGAAATACATGGATTCTTTTATCCATTTTGAACCCCCTTGAACACAGTATATTCTCCACATATGGAAATTCTGTCTTTATCACCTGCTGGGAGAAAGAAAACCACCCCCCTTACCTGGAAGCCTTAGAAAATGTTTGGCTTAATTTTAATTGTCCCTGATAGTGAAATGTGTCGGCATGTGCCCTCTCCCAACCCGCTTCCTGGAAATACATGGATTCTTTTATCCATTTTGAACCCCCTTGAACACAATAACAGTAATAATCATAGTCATGGGTGTTAAGACAAAAATATTAGAAAACAACCTCATGGGGGAGTAAAGAAGGAAGCAGCATCAGCAGAGATGTCAGCATCTCCAGAGAACTATTTTCCTGGTAAGGTAAATGGATTTGCTTGATTTTCTCCTTAGCACGTGGAGCAGTCATTCCTGTTGGAGTACCACATGTTAGTTTACTTTTTGGATATTTTTTCCATAAGGCAGATCCATTCTTCAGTTGTCCCCTTCCTCCCCACCCCCTCCTTCTTTGCTAATACAAGAGCATTCTGCAAAACCTCGCCGTTCACAGTGCGTGTGTCCAAAAGCATCTTGGGACCATAATTCATTGAATACTAGTATATCTCCATGAAAGCACAACATTCTTAACCTCTTCAGTCTCAGCACTAGCTTTCTAATTGGGGGCATTACACAAAGAAGCAAAGTTCTCACCTCTCCGTTACTGCACAGATGAGGTTGGTTACAGAATAACCGGTTCCGCTCAGACATGGGTGCTGGGCAGGCGGCCCGGCTGCGCCTCTCTGCAGGGGACTTGCATACCCGCCTTGAGTGACACACATTCGTGCATCAGCAGATTGCTAATGATGAATTAGTGTGCATTTCAAGTAATCGTCAAGAATAGTCACAACTGTGTAAGTTAAATTTGGGAGAGTAATCATATTTTATAAGTAAGCATGCTTTGAAGACTCCGAACTACTTGCTTTCAAATGAATCAGGGTATAGGGCTGGGCACTAGGAATTTCCCTGATGATTTAAAGAGAATTCTTCAACTAACAATATCTTACCACAAATTAATATACTTTTCCCACCAAAACCCTGTGTTTTTCCCAGAGATTCACCTGCTAGTTTGAGCACCAAGCTTGTTTCTCCACAATAGTTCCTATCCTGGAAAGGGCAGCAGTATTGCTCATCGTCGGACAGTTGGATGTCGTGTATCTTCAGAGTCCCAGTTCCCTGTGCAGTGCCATGTTCCATCCACTCTACCTGGCCTCTGGACTCCTCCATTTGCATCTCAGCCACCTCGGCTCCGTCTCGATGTGCAAACACAGGTGTACCAGGCTCGGAGTGCTGCCACCTCACATCCATGTGCTTCACAGTCTTCTTGGGGAGGAGCTGGCAGGTTAGCAGAACCAATCACTGTAAAGTCTTATTCTAGGTAAAGAACTGGGCATTTTGTTTGTTTCCTGCAGAAGGCAGGAGTCCCGTTACTGAGGCTACGTACAACGCAGTTTTCACAGGGACAATTAGTGATGAATTATGGACAGTGGGTTGTCTAGAGAGTTTGAGCCTTCCAATCAAACTTAAAGTCTTGTTTGACCTTTTCATTGTTATCTGCAAATTGAAGAGATATTTAATAAATGTGTATGTTATTATGTTTAATAATTTCATGTGTATATTGTGCTCTTTCTCATCCTAAATGTTCAGGGTCATTTGTTCTTTCACTGTGCAGATTCAGTCTTCCTAAGAAGGAAACTCAGCTTGGTTAGGTGCTGCTCAATATCAAATTGGTGCTGCTCAAAAGGTCACTATAGGACTTAAGTGGAGATCTGCTTGCTTTCTTCTTTGATGGAGTCTAAATATGGAGCTAGAACTAAAGTCACAGCACTTGGTTAACTTTGTTTACAGGTTAGAAAGCCGCCATACAAATACAGAGAGGACGGCAGCCTCAGCACATCACACCGTTTCTGCAGTGCTGAGTCTGGAGCCTCTGCCTTCTGATGCCCTGTCCAATGTTTTTTTCCTCTTTGTCATGCTAAGTTTTCCTCGGGGCTCTGATAGTTCTCTCTGACATTGAATTTTTATAATTGTTTTTCAAGGTACTTTTTTTTTTAAGTGCAAGACTCTTTAATGAATCTTGGAAAACCAATCTAAATATCCAGTAATGTGAAATCATTAATAAATGAGAGTAAATACATATGATATGGCCGGTAAAATCAGAGTTTTCAAGAATATTTAATGACTTGGGAGAATGTTTGTGATATAATAAAAACTCAGGTTGTATTTTTTCAGTACAATCTGAATTTTGTAAAAAGAAAACATACACATATTGGTATGTAAGCATTTAAAAGTTGTCTGGAAATAAAATACATTTAAAAATGCAGTAAGATGCTAATAGTTCTATATCTAGGTGGTTCTATTATGGATGATGTGTATTTTTTTTGTACATTCTCCTATATTGCTAAATTTTCTACAATGACATGCACTGTATTTATAATCAGGAAAAAAATTAATACTAAAAATGACATTGTGTCTTGAGTCTGATTTGTAAATCCTGCTGACTATAAGCCAAAAGCCATTAAGTTCTGACTCAATGTCACTCAAACTAAGGGTATTTGAGGTATCACGTTTATTGACCTGTGTATGTTGAACCATCCTTGCATCCATGGGATGGATCCCCCCCCTTTTTTAAAAATTTTATTTTATTTTGTCAATATACAATATGGTTGATTATTGTGACCCATTACCCAAACCTCCCTCCCTCCTCCCTCTCCCCACTCCCTCCCAACAGTGCCCTTTCTGTTTCCTTGTCGTATCAACTTCAAGGAATTGTAATTGTTGTGTCTTCTCCCCCCGCCCCAGTTTGTGTATTTATTTATTTATTTTTAGCTCCCACCAATAAGTGACAAC